ATAAACGTGGATTTTTTAAAGAATATATTTTAACCAACAAAGAGGCCAATAAACGTGGATTTTTTAAAGAATATATTTTAACCAACAAAGAGGCCAATAAACGTGGATTTTTTAAAGAATATATTTTAACCAACAAAGAGGCCAATAAACGTGGATTTTTTAAAGAATATATTTTAACCAACAAAGAGGCCAATAAACGTGGATTTTTTAAAGAATATATTTTAACCAACAAAGAGGCCAATAAACGTGGATTTTTTAAAGAATATATTTTAACCAACAAAGAGGCCAATAAACGTGGATTTTTTAAAGAATATATTTTAACCAACAAAGAGGCCAATAAACGTGGATTTTTTAAAGAATATATTTTAACCAACAAAGAGGCCAATAAACGTGGATTTTTTAAAGAATATATTTTAACCAACAAAGAGGCCAATAAACGTGGATTTTTTAAAGAATATATTTTAACCAACAAAGAGGCCAATAAACGTGGATTTTTTAAAGAATATATTTTAACCAACAAAGAGGCCAATAAACGTGGATTTTTTAAAGAATATATTTTAACCAACAAAGAGGCCAATAAACGTGGATTTTTTAAAGAATATATTTTAACCAACAAAGAGGCCAATAAACGTGGATTTTTTAAAGAATATATTTTAACCAACAAAGAGGCCAATAAACGTGGATTTTTTAAAGAATATATTTTAACCAACAAAGAGGCCAATAAACGTGGATTTTTTAAAGAATATATTTTAACCAACAAAGAGGCCAATAAACGTGGATTTTTTAAAGAATATATTTTAACCAACAAAGAGGCCAATAAACGTGGATTTTTTAAAGAATATATTTTAACCAACAAAGAGGCCAATAAACGTGGATTTTTTAAAGAATATATTTTAACCAACAAAGAGGCCAATAAACGTGGATTTTTTAAAGAATATATTTTAACCAACAAAGAGGCCAATAAACGTGGATTTTTTAAAGAATATATTTTAACCAACAAAGAGGCCAATAAACGTGGATTTTTTAAAGAATATATTTTAACCAACAAAGAGGCCAATAAACGTGGATTTTTTAAAGAATATATTTTAACCAACAAAGAGGCCAATAAACGTGGATTTTTTAAAGAATATATTTTAACCAACAAAGAGGCCAATAAACGTGGATTTTTAAAGAATATATTTTAACCAACAAAGAGGCCAATAAACGTGGATTTTTTAAAGAATATATTTTAACCAACAAAGAGGCCAATAAACGTGGATTTTTTAAAGAATATATTTTAACCAACAAAGAGGCCAATAAACGTGGATTTTTTTAAAGAATATATTTTAACCAACAAAGAGGCCAATAAACGTGGATTTTTTAAAGAATATATTTTAACCAACAAAGAGGCCAATAAACGTGGATTTTTTTAAAGAATATATTTTAACCAACAAAGAGGCCAATAAACGTGGATTTTTTAAAGAATATATTTTAACCAACAAAGAGGCCAATAAACGTGGATTTTTTAAAGAATATATTTTAACCAACAAGAGGCCAATAAACGTGGATTTTTTAAAGAATATATTTTAACCAACAAAGAGGCCAATAAACGTGGATTTTTTAAAGAATATATTTTAACCAACAAAGAGGCCAATAAACGTGGATTTTTTAAAGAATATATTTTAACCAACAAAGAGGCCAATAAACGTGGATTTTTTAAAGAATATATTTTAACCAACAAAGAGGCCAATAAACGTGGATTTTTTAAAGAATATATTTTAACCAACAAAGAGGCCAATAAACGTGGATTTTTTAAAGAATATATTTTAACCAACAAAGAGGCCAATAAACGTGGATTTTTTAAAGAATATATTTTAACCAACAAAGAGGCCAATAAACGTGGATTTTTTAAAGAATATATTTTAACCAACAAAGAGGCCAATAAACGTGGATTTTTTAAAGAATATATTTTAACCAACAAAGAGGCCAATAAACGTGGATTTTTTAAAGAATATATTTTAACCAACAAAGAGGCCAATAAACGTGGATTTTTTAAAGAATATATTTTAACCAACAAAGAGGCCAATAAACGTGGATTTTTTAAAGAATATATTTTAACCAACAAAGAGGCCAATAAACGTGGATTTTTTTAAAGAATATATTTTAACCAACAAAGAGGCCAATAAACGTGGATTTTTTAAAGAATATATTTAACCAACAAAGAGGCCAATAAACGTGGATTTTTTAAAGAATATATTTTAACCAACAAAGAGGCCAATAAACGTGGATTTTTTAAAGAATATATTTTAACCAACAAAGAGGCCAATAAACGTGGATTTTTTAAAGAATATATTTTAACCAACAAAGAGGCCAATAAACGTGGATTTTTTAAAGAATATATTTTAACCAACAAAGAGGCCAATAAACGTGGATTTTTTAAAGAATATATTTTAACCAACAAAGAGGCCAATAAACGTGGATTTTTTAAAGAATATATTTTAACCAACAAAGAGGCCAATAAACGTGGATTTTTTAAAGAATATATTTTAACCAACAAAGAGGCCAATAAACGTGGATTTTTTAAAGAATATATTTTAACCAACAAAGAGGCCAATAAACGTGGATTTTTTAAAGAATATATTTTAACCAACAAAGAGGCCAATAAACGTGGATTTTTTAAAGAATATATTTTAACCAACAAAGAGGCCAATAAACGTGGATTTTTTAAAGAATATATTTTAACCAACAAAGAGGCCAATAAACGTGGATTTTTAAAGAATATATTTTAACCAACAAAGAGGCCAATAAACGTGGATTTTTTAAAGAATATATTTTAACCAACAAAGAGGCCAATAAACGTGGATTTTTTAAAGAATATATTTTAACCAACAAAGAGGCCAATAAACGTGGATTTTTTAAAGAATATATTTTAACCAACAAAGAGGCCAATAAACGTGGATTTTTTAAAGAATATATTTTAACCAACAAAGAGGCCAATAAACGTGGATTTTTTAAAGAATATATTTTAACCAACAAAGAGGCCAATAAACGTGGATTTTTTAAAGAATATATTTTAACCAACAAAGAGGCCAATAAACGTGGATTTTTTAAAGAATATATTTTAACCAACAAAGAGGCCAATAAACGTGGATTTTTTAAAGAATATATTTTAACCAACAAAGAGGCCAATAAACGTGGATTTTTTAAAGAATATATTTTAACCAACAAAGAGGCCAATAAACGTGGATTTTTTAAAGAATATATTTTAACCAACAAAGAGGCCAATAACGTGGATTTTTTAAAGAATATATTTAACCAACAAAGAGGCCAATAAACGTGGATTTTTTAAAGAATATATTTTAACCAACAAAGAGGCCAATAAACGTGGATTTTTTAAAGAATATATTTTAACCAACAAAGAGGCCAATAAACGTGGATTTTTTAAAGAATATATTTTAACCAACAAAGAGGCCAATAAACGTGGATTTTTAAAGAATATATTTTAACCAACAAAGAGGCCAATAAACGTGGATTTTTTTAAAGAATATATTTTAACCAACAAAGAGGCCAATAAACGTGGATTTTTTAAAGAATATATTTTAACCAACAAAGAGGCCAATAACGTGGATTTTTTAAAGAATATATTTTAACCAACAAAGAGGCCAATAAACGTGGATTTTTTAAAGAATATATTTTAACCAACAAAGAGGCCAATAAACGTGAATTTTTTAAAGAATATATTTTAACCAACAAAGAGGCCAATAAACGTGGATTTTTTAAAGAATATATTTTAACCAACAAAGAGGCCAATAAACGTGAATTTTTTAAAGAATATATTTTAACCAACAAAGAGGCCAATAAACGTGGATTTTTTAAAGAATATATTTTAACCAACAAAGAGGCCAATAAACGTGGATTTTTTAAAGAATATATTTTAACCAACAAAGAGGCCAATAAACGTGAATTTTTTAAAGAATATATTTTAACCAACAAAGAGGCCAATAAACGTGGATTTTTTAAAGAATATATTTTAACCAACAAAGAGGCCAATAAACGTGGATTTTTTAAAGAATATATTTTAACCAACAAAGAGGCCAATAAACGTGGATTTTTTAAAGAATATATTTTAACCAACAAAGAGGCCAATAAACGTGGTTTTCTTAAAGGATATGTTTTTACCAACGAAGAGGCAAATAACGTGTATTTTTTTCACCAACGAAGAGGCCAATAAACTTGACTTTTAACCAAAGAAGATGTTTCTTTTCACCAACGAAGAGACCAATAAACGTGGCTTTTTTTCACCAACGAAGAGGCCGATAAACGTGGCTTCTTTTTCACCAACGAAGAGACCAATAGACGAGAACTTTCTAAGAATAATTTTGGAACATTCAAGAGACTAAAAAACGTGAATTTTTTAAACACTAAACCGGATGAAACATATATATGGGAGTTATAGCTATATCTGAACCGATTTCCTCCAAATTTGATGTACGTGCTTCTAGACTGAATTCGGTGGGATGTACTAAAATTCAGGACTTTTTGACAGATATTGGCCATTTGATGCACAATTAACCCGAAATCGGTTGAAGTTATATGTAGGGCTATATTCAAATCTGAACCGATTTTGATAAAATTTAGCAGAGGTATTTCTGAACTCTAAAAAATATTTGGCGCCAATTATCATGGTTGTCGAATGTATATTACGAATGTGAGGGACTTCAACATCAAATCGGATGAAACATATATATGGGAGTTATAGCTATATCTGAACCGATTTTCTCCAAATTTGATGTACTTGTTTCTAAACTGAATTCGTTTGGATGTACCAAAATTAAGGTCATTTGGACTTATATTAACCCGAAATCGGTTGAAGATATATGGGAGCTATATCTAAACCTGGTCCGATTATTACCTCAAAAGTAACTATGGGTTTATCTCGTTTCTTTCTCCAACAATTGCACAAAGACATAATACCCTTACTCTACGTGGTGTAGGGTATAATAAGTGTAGATGGCTTTAAAAATAACAATACTTTATTCCTTATAAAAATAATCCCGCAAAACCAATTCCATCATATCGTCAATACATTCCAACATATAATGCCGGAAATTGACATCAATTTTCACCAGCTCCAATACCTCATCCGTTCGATCAACATTTGTATAACGATGAAAATCATCGGGACGGTTTAATTTCATGTCACGCAAATAATCTCCTGGAACTCTCAAAATCGTTGCCGCTATGCAATTATATAGAGCACCAAACAAAGCCAAATCTTTCAAGGAATTCTCAAATTCCTGGAAGGTCATAAAATCCTCGGCATTCAAAGACATTCGAGATAACTCCTCCTTAAATTGTTGATAATATATTTCATGACATTCCTTCTCAATTTCTTTACGATCCGAAGGTTTAATGTTCATATAGAGGGTCATAAGGACATCAATGGCAGCTGGGGAATAACGACACAATTGGAAGTCGACAAATGCTGCACCCTTCGAATAGGGTTCATCCTTAGCAAAGAACACATTGCCACCCCAGACATCACGGTGACAGAAGACATTGTTATATTTGGTCGAAGGATTCACCATGTCATAGACGGTGTCCAATATTGAGGGCAAACGGGATTTAATGAACTCCTGCAGGGGCTCCGATTGGTAGTTCGGATGTTTGAGGGCCACAGCCAATACGGCCTGAAATAGAAAGGAGATTTCTAAGAATCCCCAAATTAAGTTTTGGTAGATCACCTACCTTAATACCCGCCGTATACCACACAACCTTGGGATTAACCGTAACCTCATACAGCACATCCTTGAGCTGATCACCAATTTTGATTTGATTCTTTCGCTCATAGCCCACACTGCAGGCATGCATACTGGCCAGACCTTTGAGTATGGAGCAAATTTGTGGTTTATTTAGAAATACGGAGGAATCCTTCATGGGCTTATAGCCCAAGTCCAAGATGTTTTGCATCACAAAGAGATCCGGTTTGACTAGATAACACTGGGCACACCAAATATTGGGAGCTGTAAAAAATGCATAAATTAGTGGTTTGAAAATATTTAAACATATTTGCAGTAGACTTACTCAGTTTCTTAAGTTCATTTAGCAATTTTTGATATAAAGTAGCCTCCTTCGTCAGCATGCCGGAACGTTCAATGAAATCCGACATATCGGGATTTTGGTAGGGTTTCGTCTTAACAAACAGCCGAATATGACTGAGTTCATTTTCCTGAAAGTAAATATGGAAGTATTAATTAAGGATTTTATTATATTTTTAAGGATTTTTTAAATTCTTTTCCTTTATCTGAACTATGAAAAAGGAACTTTTTCATATATCAAAGCAAATTCCAAATATTATTTTAGGATGGAAAGTCAACGTTTTTCAGAAAATCTTTATAAAAAAAGACCAGCAAGTAAGTGCCCGCTGCTTCGTCAGCAATAGTTCGTGTTAGGCCCTTTTTAGTACTTAAAATGTTCAGTTTGATAACATCTTTACATCAAAACTTTATACATCCCACTACATTTTCAGACTTTCAAGGTTTTACTTTTTCGGAAAAAATAATAGGAAAATGTTTACCTATTGCACCAAGAAGTCTTCATTTTAAATTTTGCCGCTGAACCCACATCCAATTTTTCTGTCCAAAAGTATTTCAACGTCTACATCTGTAATCCTTAGAAACCAATAGTGACCTCAATATTATATTTCAGATTTTCAGCTATATCCCTTCACCCAATACCAAACTCAGTAACATTTAGTACACATATCCATAACGATCTACATCTCTCTCTATTCAAGACACCAACAGTGATCCAAAATTCGTATAATTTAGTACTTTCCGAAAAATTATGGTACACATTCGCAAAACCACCACCAGATACCAACAGAGATCCCAATATCAAATTTAGGGATTCCAGCCCTATCCCTTCGCCCAATACCAAATTTAGTACCATTTAATACTTTTTGTACAATTGAAGTACAATATTCCAAACAACCTCCATTTATCAATTCCAGACATCAAGAGAGACCTCAATATCACTTTTGAGGATACCTGCTCTATCCCTGCCCTAACTTCACCTATTACCAAAATTAGTACCATTTTATACAGTTATAGTGCGTATATTCAAAACCAACTCCTTCTCTCAACCACAGACATCAACAGTGACATAAATATCAAATTTGAAAATTCCAGCCCAAATTTGGTCTTGATACCCAAGACCAAATTTAGTACTATTTAGTACTTTTGGTACAATTATAGTACACATTTCCGAAACCACCGCCACATCTCAATTCCAGATACAAATAGAGAACTCAATATCAAATTTCGGGATTCTCTTCATCCAATACCACATTTAGTACCATTTAGTATTTTTGGTACAATTTTTGTAAAATTTTCCATATAACCTCTTTATATCAAATCCAGACATCAACAGCATAACTGTCCTTTAGTACTTTTCGAAAAAATATAGTACCCATCTTCAAAACAATTTCTTTACCTCAACTTAGATAACAAGAGTGACCTCATATCAAATTACATGATATCAGTTCTATCCCTTCACCCAATACCTACTGCCAAATCTCAAACACGGATACCAACAGTGGCATCCCATATTAAATTTCAGAATTTGAGCTCTTTCCTTTACCCAATACCAAATTTAGTACCATTTAGTCCTTTTGTACAATTGTACTACAAGTTTCCAAAAAACCACCTTATATCAATTTCAGACATCAGCAGAGACCTCAATATGAAACTTGAGGTTACCTCCCCTTTACCCAATTTGGTACCATTTAGTACTTTTCGTAAAAATATAATACACATTTTCAAAACAATCTCTATGTATCTCAAGCTCAGATATCAACGGTATATCAAATTTCAGGATTTCAGCTCTATTCCTTCACCCAATACCCAATTCTGTGAAATATAGCACTTTTAGTACAAATATAGGGCATATTTCCAAACCACTGCCAAATCTCAAACAGGGATACCAACAGTGGCATTCCATATTAAATTTCAGAATTTGAGCTCTATCCTTTACCCAATACCAAATTTAGTACTATTTAGTCCTTTTGTACTAGTACAATTGTACAAAAGGACTAAATAGTACAAGTTTCCAAAAATTTCAGACATCAACAGAGACCTCAATATGAAACTTGAGGTAACCTCCCCTATCCCTTTACCCAATACCCAATTTGGTACCATTTAGTACTTTTAGTACAAATTTAAAAACAATCTCTATATCTCAACCTCAGATATCAACGGTATATCAAATTTCAGGATTTCAGCTCTATCCCTTCACCCAATACCCAACTTAGTTACATTTAGTACTTTTCGTACATATTTAGGGCGTATATCCAAACCACTACCAAATCTCAGACACATGTACCAAGAGTGGCATCTCATATCAAGTTTTGGAATTTCAGCTCAATCCCTATTTACCATATACTCAATTAAGTACTATTTATATTTTCAAAACCACGTCCATATCTCAATTCCAGATACCAAACGAGAACTCAAAATCAAATTTGAGGTTTCCAGCTCTATTTCTTTACTCAATGCAAATTTAGTACCACTTAGTACTTTTCGTACAAATATAGCACATACTCTCCAAACAATCTCTATATAGCAACCTCAGATACAAACAGTGACCTCAATATCAAATTTGAGGATTTCAGCTACATCCCTTCAGTCAACACCCAATTCAGTACCATTTAGAACTTTTCGTACAATTATAGCACACATTGTTCGTGATTCCAGCCTTATCCCTTCACCCAGTACCAAAATTTGGTACCATTTAGTACTTTTCGAAAAAACGTCCAAAACTATCTCCAAATCTTAAAATTGGATACCAACAGTCTTTTAAATATAAAAATTCCGAATTTAAGTTATATCCCTTCAATCAGGCTACACATGAAGAGCGACCAATACCATTACCAATTTTCAGATTTCAAGTACTGTTCTGTTCATCCAATACCAATTTGTACCAAATATAGTATTATTCAGTACTTTTCGTGCACTCGTACACATTTCCAAAACCGCAAACCTACTACCAAGATGGATCCCAATTCAAAATGTCAGCTTCATCCGCTCACCCTAAACCAAAATTTTTCAAATTTAGAATCATTTAGTACGGTTTTGAAAAGCGAGCGCTTCACCGGGAATGGGCCAAAATATCGCTGAGCAACATTCGGGCAGACGTGTGACGGTTTCATAGGCCGTTTGAAGGCCATAATTCGTGCAAAAGGTGACCAATTCGAACAAATCTAAACTTATTCTAAAATTTGATGCTATTTCCGACATGTGAAAAATATGGCATTTGACTTTGTTGTAGTTTTTTTTTTATCTCACTCTGTATATGGTACCTCACGCACATTTTAACATTTTCCAAAAATTATCGCATATCTCCTAAAAAGTCATGAAAGTAGCTAATATAGTCCAAACCTGGCACGTCGCAATATTTATATTATATTTAATTAGCTCCGATTTGAAATGGACAATTTTGGCCTATTCTTCGGAACCTACTCCATACAACAATTTGAATAACCATAACAGAAATCAAAATATATTACAATAAATCTGTCGGCTGATACTTTTTTACAAAATCTCAGCTTTAAGTTTTCGTCTGGGCGTTTATTCTCGATCAGTCATTCAGTTATTTTACTCCTCTTTTATATATAGAGAAAAAAGACTAGGGCTACGGTATTGGCATGTAGGTGGGTGTGTAGGTGGGTGATAAGACAGGGTTTTTTGAAACTTGTGTTAAAAGCTACTAAAAACTGTGTTTTTGAGCTAAAGTCGTAAAGAGGTCAGACTGTTCACTATTCACTATTCAAAAAAAAAAAAAAAATAAATAAATAAATAAATAAAATAAATAAATAAATAAATAAATAAAATGTCTTATTAAGATCATGATCGGCACAATGGTCCAGAGGTCTTCAAGTATAACATAACAACATAAACCGATTTTCCAATTTTTCTTTTTTAACAAATTCGTATAAATTCACCCCTTTTTTGAAATCACTATAATCACTAACATCATAAATCTTCCATAGAAATCTAATCTCCACTCATATAGTCCATTTTAGGAAATTGTTTATCATGGGCCACAGAGTGGCGGCTTACCTCCGCCTTTTGATATCTCAAATGTAAATGGAAATATTCGCCCAAATATCCAATTGTACTCAGCTCTGGAACAATTTCATATTCCTTTAGTTCACCACCGGCAATTCCCTGTTCTTTTAATATCTTCTCCAGAATTTGTTCACATTCTTCGCGCGTTACTAAATCATGGCGATTATGTCGTTCGATTAAATCTTTATTATTTTGTTTATCTTTCATTATGAATTCAAAATGTCGAAACAAGCTTTAATTCATTAACAAAAAAAAAAAAACACACGTGATAGCGGCGGTTATGGAAAGAGCCGCACAGCGTTCTACTCGGATTGAATTTTTAAATACAACTGAGCGTCGAATCAGTGGTGCTGTGGAGAGATACTTGAAGAGTGTTATTTGAGACCTGTACAATGGAATGGTGAGCATATTAAGTGAGTCTCTCGGGTTGTAACAACTCGCAGAAGGTATTATCTATGTTAATAAAAGAGTAAAAGGATTGACTGAATTAATGATTCATCAACGCCCAGAAGGTAGAATCTTAAAATTTTGGGTGAGGGTCACCCTTGGTCCGCAGGTGTCAGATAGGGCTGGGTTTTTTAGAACTTCGTCTTAAAACGGTACGAAAAAGGCTAAAAGGTGCCAAACATTATACCCTTTGTATTTGACGAACCAGTAGAGCCGGAACTCTTAAATTTGGAATGGGGGTCACAGATGGAGTGTATGATGGATGTACCAAAGGGTTTTTTTCGAAATTCGTATCATGTAAACGGTTAGAGCTAAAAATTTTAAATTTGGAAGGGGAATCAATTTTGAGGAAGACGATGTAAGGAGGTAGTTTTGAAAACGTGTAGTCATACAATTTGAATTTAGAAGAACGGGTGGAGCTGGCATCCTGAACTTTGTAATTAAATTTGCTGGCGGAGTGTAGGATTTGGATATGGAGGTACTTTTCGAAATTTATACTTATGTGCACAAAAAGCAATAAATGGTACTAAATTTGGTACAATTTCGATTTAGATGAACCGATACCGATATAATTTTAATTTTGGGGGAAATGTAGATTTGGAATGCAGAAATTCAGATTAGGAAGTTTTGGAAATTAGTACTAAATGGTATAATTGAAATATTGGGAGAAACGATAGAGTTGGATTGCTAAGATTTTGGAAACAAGATTACCATTGCATTGTTGGATTGGGATATGTAATAAGTTTTGAAAATTTGTACGTATGTGTACAAAATGGTACTAAATTTGGTACAATTAAAATTTTGGTAGAAACGATAGCGTTGGAGTGCTGATATTTGGAAACGAGATTATTATTGCATTATTGGATTGGGGTATGTAGGAAGTTTTGTAAATTCGTATTTATGTATGTGTACTAAATGGTACTAAATTTGCTACAAATTGGAGGTGTGGTGAACCGATGGAGCTGGAATGCTGACATTTGGGAATTAGATTTCTATGGGATTGAGGTATGGAGTTAGTTTTGGATATTTGGAATGAGAGTCACTGATGGAGTCCAGGATAGCAGTACCAAAGGAATTTTTGGAAATTCGAATTTTAAGGTTGCGAAAAACTATAAAATGGTACTAAACTTCTAAAATTGTGAAATTTGTATGAGAATCAAGGCGGGAAAGTATGTTTAATATATGAAGGTGGTTTTGGTATGTGTACTAAATGTGCGAACTGTATCAAATGGTACTAAATTCGGAAAAGTTTGGTATAGGATGAACAGATAAAGCCGAAATGTTGTGTTGGGGTCTACGTTAGTGGTAGGTTTGTGATAGAGAGGTGTTTATGGAAATGTGTACTACAAGTGCAAGAAAAGTACTAAATGGTACTCTATTTTAAACAATTTGGTATTGAGTGAACAGATAGTGCTTGGAAATCTGAAATTTGATATTGTTCATGTGTAGCCTGGATATATGGAAGTGGTTTCGGAAATGTGTATAATAATTGTACGAAAAGTACTGAATGGAAATTCTGAAATCTGATATTTCGTTTACTGATAGTATCTATGTTTGAGATTTCTGCGAAAAGTACTAAATGGTGCTAAATTTGGTATTGCATGAAGGTATAGGGTTGAAATCCTGGAATTTGATTTAGATGTCACTGTTGGTGTCTGCGGTTAAGATATGGGTGTGGTTTTGGAAATGTACTTAATGGTCTAAATTGGGTGAAATTGGGTTGATATTGAGTATGTACTCTGTTGGTTGGTGAGATATAGAGGTGGTTATGGAAATGTGTTCTATAATTGTAGGAATGGTAAATGTAGGAATGATACCAAATTTTGTCGAAGGAATAGAGATACAATTCTGAAATTTGATCTTGAGGTCTCAATTGGTTTCTTGGATTGGTGGTTTTGCTATGCTTACTATGTTTGTACGAAATGTGCCAGCTGAACTAAATTTGGTACTGGATGAAGGAATGGAGGTGAAACCGTGAAATTTTATGTAAACATGGGCATTTGTTATTTGGAGTTTATGAAATACAGACAAATTAAAAAAAAAAAACAAGTAAAAAGAAGCTGGGTTCGGCTGGGCCGAACTTATTATTCCATCCACCATTGGGAAGGAATTTGAAAATTAAAAAATTCACCGAAAAATACGTTTTAAATGATATCCGTTATATGTGGGCTATATAAAGACGTGGACCTTCGTAGAAAGTGAAAGGTTGAAGTGTCCATTATTTGAATAATATCTGGTGAATACTAGCGCTAAAATCATCGAAATAACGAATATCAGGATGGAAGATCGTTTTAGGGGAGTACAGACAATTCCATTGATAAACTTGGCAACAATCATCAAATACCGAATAATGAGAGATACCGTTATATAAGGTCTATGAGAAGACATGGACCTGCATGAGCAATATTCAGTCATATATGGTAGTACCTATTAGGAACATATTATTCAAAATTTGAAACAATTCCGATTAATAAAGTCGATAAAATTATCAAAATACCGAATATCGGGAGGTATCATTATATGGGCGCCATGTGAAACGTGGACCTGCATAGAAAATTGTCCGTACCCATTGTAAACTTCAAATAAGAAATTGGAAAAAAGTCCGGTAAAAACTATCGCTAAAATCATCAAAATACCGAATATCGGCGGTACCGTTGTATGGGGGGTATGCGATATCGTGGACCTATATAGACACTTGCAGGGCTGCCCATATTCGACGAACCCATCTGGCAACGCCATAACTTTTGACAAAGATGTCACATCGCTTAATGACATACCGCGTTTGAAGCGTCAGTCCAAGCAGATTTTTACCATGAACCAATACATGCCACGCGAGCGCTCTGAAATAGATGAAATTTACATTCAACAGAAGAAGTCAATTGTGAAAAAAAATGTGAGAAGTGCGCCTTCTAAGAACACCATTAAGCACTTATACGAAAAATTTTCGACTGGTAAGGCTCTTTCTAATCCGAAGAGGCCATATAAAAGTCGACCAAGGCGATCGGCCGAGAATATCGCTGCCGTACGAGCCACTGTTGAGAGGTCCCCAAGAACATCCCAAAAACGCCGTTCTCAGCAGTTGGGCTTGGCCCGGTCCATTTTACAACGGATTATTCGCATTGATTTGCATTTGTTCCCGTACAAAATTCAATTGACAAAGAATGTTGCCTGCGGAGAAGCCTCGTCGATTGGAATGGGCCCAAAGTGCCCAAAGGTCCGTCGAATATGGGCAACCCTTTATATTTCATGGGATAAAGCACTCGGAAGAAACTTTTTGTGCGGATTTTCAAACAATTCAAATAAAAACATTTGGCTACAATCATCAAAATACCGAATATGGGGAGGTATCGGTTTATAGGGTAAACTCGATATCGTGGATCTATATAGACAAATCTCTTCCAGGAGGTAAAGTACTTCCAAAGAATTCCTTGTGTAGAAGTTCTGATAATTCCATTTAAAAAATACCGCATATCGGGGGTTCCGTTTTATGGGGGTTATACGATATTCTGCACCGATATAGCCCATCTTCGAACTTGACCTGCCTGCAGACAAAAGACAAATCTATGCAAAATTTTAGATTCCTATTTTTGACATTTTGACAGGGCTAAATCGTCTTAGAATTTTACGCTGATCAAGGATGTAAATACTTTTTTAGGTCTAAAATAATTATTTCGATGAGTTACAAACGGATACCCTCCAAACTTTATTTACCCTCCGTACTATGCATGGTGGAGGGTATAAAAACAAACGTACATAAATAGTTGTACCCATTTTTTAAAAATGTAGTAGTACGGTTTTTTTCTATATACGGTTGAATTAATTATTATATTGCAATTAAAAATATATACATTTTATAAAATGAATTTTTGTACTTACAATTTCGCTTTTTACCTTCATATATTTAAGGTAGTGGCTTTTCAATTCGTCTGAAACCTTAACAAGGCATTAAGCTTTTATTTTTGTTGGCGCTTAATCTATGTACGATTAGATAGGCCAGTAAACAACATGAAATATACAAGAAACAAATTTCGGCACTACCATGTTTGTTATATTATACCCCGGCCAATTTGTAAGTAGATAATCTCTACCGATAACGTTAGTTTGTTTACTACACCCGGGGTAAAATTGTATATGGCCCTTGTATTCGGGCTGTTGTGAGAGATTGTAAACAATATTTCATTTACGAGATCTTATCTACGCTCATTCTATCAAACTTGTTGTACACTTGCAGAGGGAGAGAGAGAGAGAGAGAGAGAGAGAGAGAGAGATGATAGGAGAGTATGTTTAAATAATTAATAATATTTAATTTGTGTGCTTCAGGCATTATAAAAACGAATGACAATGTTTGCAATTGATATTCTAAAGATGTTATAAACCGCTGAGATTATAGCTAGACAATATATCCATAACAGATTTTATTGGATGACAATGAGTTGATGGTCCAGGACCATGCACGTTTTTTACTAGTGATCGTTTTATTAAAAACAGTGTTAAGCCTAGTAGAACATTTTATGAATTTCAACACAATGGAATGGGATGACACATAATCGCTATATGGATGGTATTTAGTGAGAGGAGCATGTATAGGGCTTGAATTTTTAATAACAAATTATATGTATGTATTGTAGAAAATGTATATTTCAATATACCTATTTTAAGGCAATAGGCAACAAGTAAGCAAAGGCTATAGTCGTGCGGGGCCGACCATGTGATACCCTACAACACTACAACATGTCCAAATCCATTTTGGAAGATTTCGGTTTTGAAATTATGTCACGGTGCACTGCCCAGGTATTACCCTAACCATTTTGACCAGGGACATTTGCCCAATATTTACGCACTCCCTCGTGCTGTTAGTTATTGTGGTCCATTTTCCAGCTAAATATAATCCAATGGTCATTCAAAATGCTAGAATTCTTCCCTGTCCAAAATGCTCTTCCCAGGCGTGTCGAATGGCTTTAATTGCGTGATCAGGAAATTTTTTTCTGTTTTTGGTTCATTTGAACCCCTAAAATTTTGCGGTTATCTCCAAAACCAAGGCCAAAACCAAGGCCCCTCTGTATCTCCAAATTTAGACTTATCTATATTCTTTCTCGTCTACTATATTTGGCTATATTCGTCAACGAAATCAGCATAAAAAGCCAGAAGTTCGCCTTTTGTGAATTTCGAATATCGCCTGTAAGTAATGTTGGTATTTTTACACACAAAAGTAGTGGTCCATTCTACCCGCTGTCCTAAACTCTAACTTCATGCGAGATTTCCTTTGGATTCAACTTGTTAACTTTATAACGGCTGCAAAATCAGGAACATTTTTAGTTGTTGGTCCATTTCAACCCCTAAATATATTGCGGACATCTTTGAAAAGCATAGGCCTAGCCATTCTGAGCCTTACCCAACCCTTTTTCGTGAGGATAATTGCAATCTGTATATAATAACCCCAACCTGTGTTGTAAAATGAAAAAATATTACAAAATGTACAATTCATTATTATAAGTCAAATTGAAAAAATCGCATGCGATAAAAATATGAAAAAATAAAAAATGTCACAAAATACTACAAAATCTATATTAACATCATTATAGGCATCTTTTTATGCGATTTTTTCAGATTTTATACTTTTATGGTAAGAGGGCATTCTGAATTGACGAAATTTGCCGAATTCGGTCAAGCCATTCTGGAGATATAAGCATTCTAGCTAACATCCCCTTCCTTCTATATATACATTGTATATTTTTCTCTATATATAACCGACATATTTACTGTCGGCATCTACGTAACGGTCAGAATTGACCTGTTCGTCTGTTTGTGATTTTGCCGGGATTAAGAATATTCGCGGTTTAATGCAAAAATTTGACTTTTATTTAACACATATGTTGTGGTCTATTTCACCCACTAAATATTACCCGATGACCATCAAAATTGGAAGGATTCTGCCCAGCCCTAAGCTCTAGCCCTATGCTTACTTTCGTGTAGTAGTGTGGTCCATTCTACCCGCTGTCCTAAACTCTAACTTCATGCGAGATTTCCTTTGGATTCAACTTGTTAACTTTATAACGGCTGCAAAATCAGGATTTTTTTCAGTTTTTGGTCCATTTCAACCCCTAAATATTATGCAACCGTCTCCATAAATAAATAGGGTTCTATTCTGACCCTAGCCCCACCTCCATTCTAAATTTCATGAAGATCGGACCATAATTGCGACCTGTAGAGTGATTACAAATTAACATGAACAGACGGACAGACGGACGGACGGACATACATAGCTAGATCGACTCAGCTCGGCGAGCTAGGAAGATCCATATATACTTTCCTATGTGGGAAACCAATATTTCGTGGTGTTACATAATTTTTGGCCCAATCAAACTTATAATACCCCCCACACATAGTGTTGTAGGGTATAAAAATCATATAAGATCTATTCCTTAAGCTCAGCCTATAATGGATTTCTAAGAGAGGGTCTTTTTGCATTTAAAATTCCAAATTCGGAAGGATCATTTCAAACGTGTAACTGTAAATTCAGATATAGGGTTTTCAACATTTTGTCTTATAACTTAAGAGGCCTGATCGAACTAATAATTTAAGACCCCACGTTGGTGCACGCCATTATTATTCTCGAAGACAGTATACGATTTCCAAACATGGTTCTTCCAAGAATCGTACCTTCGTAATGATAATCAAACTTTGAATAGGAGAGCGAAGATGGACAATACTGGGCCACTTTTATGTCTCAGTATATAGTATGACCTTTGATTGCTCATATTTGGACTCCCATTATTTGTATGTATTTTAGGAATATTAAAACAATTTCCGAGCTTGCCGAAGTGCGAAGTTTCTCGCTTCAATTTCACGATATTATTATTATTATTTTTTTTTTTTTTGAGGAAAATGTCAAATGGTTTGGACCGATGTATTCCATCTTCACTCTTCACCTATTTCAGATATAATTTAAAAAATTTCATTACAATTCGAGCATTCGATTACAAGATAACTTTTAAAATTTTAATTGAAATGTTTTGATTTAACATTTCAACTAATTTTTTTATAGGAGTAATTATTACGCAAATATTTAAGAATTTAAGAATGGCAAAATAGTAAATTTGGGCCAAGTATTTTTAAAATTAGAATATTTCTAACGGATAGTACTAGAAACCGATATACACCGATATATAAAAATGCAACGCCATAATTTGTACATTTTTTCAAATTTCACCTTTGGCACGAATTATGGCCTTCAAACGGCCAATGAAACCGTCACACGCTGCCCGAATGTTGCTCTGTGGTATTTTGACCAATTTCCAGACTCCAGACACAATAGTTCAACGAATTGGTATCCGGAGATTTTGGTGGCAATTGTGCGCTGGAATTTTTTTCTCTTCGGAGAATACCGAATTCGGCAGTTCACCACTTTCGGCTAAGCGAAGCAACTCTTTAGCTCTTTTGAGTCTATTTTCATTCTTTTGCGGTGTAAGTTCATGCACTTTTTGGAATTTCCATGGCTTTACCCTGAGTTCATCTTTTCAATATTTGCGAATGGAATATTGCGATATGTTCAGCTCACGAACTATTTTTCGGCCACTGCGACGCTGGTTGCTGGTTTCTTCCGTCCACACTTGACGCCGGCTACGCTACCAGTATCACGGTAACGAGCGATGATACACAAAAGATTTATTCACATTTAAAAGCTGGAGTGCTCTAACGATATCCACTTGTGATTTTCCAGCCAAATGTAAAGAAATCACACTATCATGCTTAAATTCCATCATGAATAACTTTTTTTTCTGGAAAATTCTCACCAAAATGCTTTTGTACGCTTGTAAACAACATGATGAGCTGTCACTCGCATAATTTTAACAGTTGTCGGACGAGTGGCTTAGAAATGGCAGCAGTTTGAATTTGGTCGCAGTTTTTTCATCTCACCCTGTATGTCTGGGCTCAGACATGAATAGCTATCCTAATACCAAATTTAAGATTTCAAGAACAATATATTTACCCAATACCAAATTGTACGAAATATAGTACTATTTTGTACTTTTGCGTGCACTTGTAGTACATATTCCCATACCCACCTCTTTATCACAACCGTAACACCAACAGGCATCCAAATATATAATTTCAAAACTCCAGCTTCATCCCTTCACCCTAAACCAAATTGTACCAAAATTAGTACCGTTTAGTACACTTAAGTACAATATTTCATAACTACATACAGTCCAATGAAATCATTTTTCCAAATTTCAGGTTTCCATCTCTTTCGGTCTACTCAAAATTTAAATTGTACCAAATTAAGTACGATTTAGTACACATAAGTATGAATTTCCAAAACTGCCTACATACCTCAGTCCTACAATAAAATAGTAATTTTATTTCCAAATTTCATGATTCTAACTCGATTGGTTGTCCCAAAATCAAAATTGTGCTGAATTTAGTACCATTTAGTACAAATAAGTACGAATTACCAAAACTACCTACATTCCGCAGTCCGAAAATGCAATAGTAATCTTATTTCCAAATTTCAGGATTCCAACTCTATCGGTTCATTCAAATCGAAATTGTACCAAATTTGGTACCATTTAGTGCTTTTCGTGCACATAAGTACACATTTCAAAAACTTTCTCCACATCTCAATCCTTCTACACCGCCAATAATGTTATTTTCAAAATTCAGGATTCCAGCTCCATCCATTCCTCCAAATTTAAATTGTACTAAATTTAGTACCTTTTAGTACTTTTCATATACATGCGTACACACTTCAAAAACTACCTCCTTACTTCAACTCTTCTCCTCAAACTTAATTTCCATTCCGAATTTTAAGTTTTTAGCTCTAAGCGTTCACATACAATACGAAAAAATACCAAATGTAGTACATTTTAGTACTTTTCGTACACTTATAGTGCGAATTTTCAAAAACCCTTTAGTACATCCATCATACACTCTATCAATGACCCTCATTCCAAAAATGTAAGAGTTCTAGCTATACTGTTTCCTCAAATACCAAGTACCGAGTTCCGAAGACCCAGCCAGAGGTCACTCTTGGTCCGTAGGGGTCAAAACCCTCACCCAAAATTTCAAGATTCTAGCTTCAGTCGTTTCGTCTGGGCGTTGATGAATCGTTATGTCAGTCAGTCAATTACTTTACTTTTTTATTAACATTGATTTTATTTCATTAATTCTAAATCATTTATTTCGGCTTAAAATTAAAATATTCCATGATCTCTTGCAATGGATATTGTATCTTTCCCATATAGGTAGGATCCATCTGAGCGACTCTCTCAAACATTGCAATTCGCTCACTATTCATATAGGCATCAAATGTCTTGGGTTCAGTGGCACGCATGTGGGCGGCCCAACCTGGGGGTAAATTAAATAATGGCACACAAATTGATCGCAGAGTTAAGACAGCCAGCAGAGCTTTGCGGCAATCTTCTTCGAATTCTTGCTGCGGTATCAGGTCTTCACTTATATTCAAACGTTTCAATTCCTCCTTCAAAGTCTTATGATAATATTTCAAGAGATCAGGTACCTCTTTATCTCTGCGTTGAGGATTTTCAAAATTATTATAGAGAAAATTGAGGACATCTATTGCCGGAGGACTGTAACGGGTCAGCTGGAAATCGACAATGCGACATTCCAGGGGTTCTTTGTCCAATTTGTCATATTTCCAAAATATGTTGCTGTTCCAGGAATCACGATGACACAATACGTTACGTAGAGTTTTCGAGGATTTGGATAACTCCTCCATATCCAGGAATACTTGATTAAGTTTTTGATTGATAAATTCCTGGGCCTCGGGGTACTGATATTTAGGGTGAGTTTGGGCTATATACAAAGCGGCCTGTGAGGGAAACACAAATTTAAATATTTTAAAATTTTTTCTTTTGTTTTCAAAAATGAACATACCTGAATACCCGTTATGTACCACTCATTTGCCGCACTTAGCTGCAATTCGATCAGGACATCCTTGAACTGTTCACCAATATTCAGTGACGCTTCGGCCTCCCAGGCAAGGCTGGCGGCATGAAATCTGGCCAGCAGTTGTAAACACAATTGCAAATGTTTCGTTGTGTAAATGTCATTTTTCGATAATTGCTTGAAACCCTTTTCGGGTAAGGAAAAATCTTCCAATACTAAAACATCGGAACGCACCAAATAGGATTTGGGAAATAAATCCGCCGGGGCAAAGCGTTGAATATTTGGTAAAATATTGGCATAAATGCTGGATTCTTTGCGAAAGAACCCTTTGCGTTCGCATTCATCGCGATAGACTTCATTGGTGACGGGGACGGATTTAACAAAAAAATTCAGATGTCTCTCGGTATCAGAATTCTATGGACGAAAAAAAAATTAAATATTTTAATTTTCAAAATTACAAAAAAAAAAAAAAAAAAAAAAAAATCAACAAATCAAAACTTACCCCCTCTTTAATATCTATTTCCAATTTATAATATTCTCCCATAAATCCCACCAGATCGCTGGAGGGTTTCACAACTCTGTGCGACAACAATTCAAATGCATTGTCACTGGGCAAATTTAAACAATTCTTGACAATTGTTAAACAATCGCTTTTGTTTAAAATTTCCACTGGTAGCTCTGCCATGCTTTCATCCACGATCACGCTCCAAACGCTACTAAATCAGAACGTTTCATTTGTTCCACAGAGCAATAACTGGCATTCCGTTCAATTTACATAATTTTGTTTTTGTTTATTTTTTTGAAAAATATAAATTAAGTTTTTCTCTTTTATCCAGAAATTTGTTTAAATTTGAGAGAATGAGAGAGCCTCACACACTAGCCATTAAGATAACAATAAATGTCAACTAGTTGTAGATTATCATAACTTGTTGAGATGGGCACAGTGGGCATAAAAATAAAAACAAAGAAAAAAATTGTCAAATAGGAAAGAAAATGAAAATTTTTATCTAATCGGCGTAATAAAATTCCATTTTCGGAAACCCCGAAAAGGTTATGAAGATAGTGTTAATAATATGAGACACACTTATAAATCGATCTTACCAAAAAGGGGCGGGGAAGATCCTCCCACTTTTAAATTTGTGAAGATATTCGAGTTAAGATTCCTTGGACTTCATGCATTATATGGTGTTGTCGGCAATATAACTGGGAAATATTTTCGTAAAAAAAAAAAAAAAAAATTAAAATTCCCAGTCCGGAATCGTATCAAAACAAAATATTTTACAATATTGTTTGTCATAAAATTTGACAGTAGGTCTCAGAACACATCCAACTCCAAAACTTAAAATGATGCCCTATATCGAATGAAATAAAAAAACTAAAATGGTATCAGTCAATTTTGCCGACAGATTTATACCCCCAGCCTTGAGTTATGATTATTCAAATTGTTAACCCTTTAATTATGGAGGAGGTTCCGAATCAAATGGCCAATATTGACCAATTCGTATCTGACCTAAGACTAATATAAATATTACAACGTACCATATTTGGACTATATCGACTACCTCCTATACTTTATATGAGATATGTGGACATTTTTGAAAAATGTGGAAATATGCGTGAGGTAACAGATTTAGCGGACGCAAATGTTCCATTTTCATACTTCATCTGATACGCATTAAAATATTAATATCTGCAAAATTTAAAGGAAATTAAACATTTCTATCCAATTTTATACGAAATTATAAATTCCGATAAATTTCATATTTTTATCAGATGCTTATTAGGCATTTTATGAGCGTTTTGTTTTTCAGAATGTTGACCCTTTGTGTTGATGATAAAATTGAAATAGAATCGGATGCTCATTTCTCGTTTTATGTGCCTCATGGGTATTAAAAATTTTGAGAATTGAGCGTTTTGTTTTTCCAAATCTTGAACCCTATTTTGGGGAGGTACCAGAAGAAATTTGCCGATCTCTACCATTTTTACAACAGATCTTTTTATGATGGAAAAATTGAGATTTACCAAATCTGAATGGAATCGGATGTTAAATACCCGTTTTAAGTTTCATGGATATTTAAATTTTTGACCCTCTGTGGGAGAGGTACAAGAAGGAGTTCGCCGATATATTCTATGTTCACAGCACATCTTGTGTTAGTAAAAATATTGAATTCGAAATATTGAAAATCGAATTTTATAATCGTTTTGGTTATTCAAAATTTTGACCCTTTGTGGCGGAGGTACCAGAAGAAATTGTCCGATCCCTTCCATATTTATAAAAAATCTTGTGTTGGTGAAAAAAATGAAATGTGCCAAGTCCGAATGGAATCGGATGTTAATTTCGTTTTTTATGACCTTGTAAATATATTCAAAATTTTGACCCATAGAGCGTCTTGAAACCTATTTTGGGAGGTGCCATAAGAAATCTTCCGGTCTCTACCATATTTAAAACAGATCTTTTGTTGATGGAAATGTTGAAATGTACCAAGTCCGGAAAGGAATCGGATGTTAATTTTTTTTTTATTTTATGAGCTTCATGGATGGTCAAAACTTTGATCCTTTGTGGGTAAGGTACCAGAAGGAGTGGCACGATATATTCCATCTTCACACTAGACCTTGAGTTAATAAAAATATTGTGATGTGCGTAATTTGAAGAGAACTAGATGATTATTTCGGATTTTATGATCGTTTTGGTTATTCAAAATTTTGACACTTTGTAGGGGAGGTGATAGAAGGAATGGTCCGAGCTCTACCGTTTATATAACAGATCTTATGTTGATATAAATATTCAGATGGGACAAGTTTGAAAGAAATCGGATATTATTTTCGCCTTTTATAAGATTAATGGATATTCAAATTTTTGACCCCTTGTGGGGGAGGCACTTGATGAAGTGGACCGATGTTGTCCATTTTTGCACCTGACCTAGAACTGATGCAAATATTAGGATTTGCAAAGTTGGAGCAAAATCGGATTATCCTTTATCCTTTCTATGCATTAAAATATTTTTTATTGAAAATTTCGACCATTTGTGGTGCAGGTACCTGAAAGAGTGGACCGATTTTGCACATCTCTGAAGTCGATGTAAGTTTGACAATAAAATTACGATGTACCAAGTTTGGATCAAATCGGATACTCTCTTCGAGAGTTATCGTGTGCACCGGCCGGACAAATAGACGGACGAACGGACATCGGTAAAGAAGGGATAGATTAATATTGTGGTGTATGTATGTATTTTGAATACACCTTCTTTACCGATGTCTCTTGGTCAGCTCTGACATATTCATAAACAAATCTACACTGCGAAAATAAATATTCCACTATACACGAATATCCAATTTTAAAAGCCCTTGTCCAGGTCTGAAAAAAAAAATAATAAGAAATCCATATTTCTTAGTCAGTCTGAAATTATTAAAAATCCAATTTAAAGCCATGAAAAAGCTTTTAAAAGATCCACACATGAGAAAAGTTACTCAGCTCTGAATAAAATCCGTGTAAAAGGCCTATTTCAAGCTCTTTTTAGCTTTAAGCTCTTTAGTAGCTTGGCGAAACATTCCTTAAAAGTCCATGTTTTAGAGCTGTTGGTCAGGCCTGAAAAAAGGTTTTACTTATCCCCGTTTAAAGTCACTTTGTGAGCTCTGAAATCATCAACAATCACGTGCAGCAGCAATTGGTTGGCTACGAAAATATTCACAAAGGATCCAAGTTTAGAAGTTGTTGATCAGTTCTAAAAAATATTATATAACAAGTTAAAAAGTCACCTCCATACCCTCCACCATTTGGAACGAATTTGGAAATTTAAAAAAAATAAAACCCTTAAAAATTCTCTTATAATTTTAAAAATACCGATTATAGCCGTTATATTGGGGACCTACATAGGCATTGTTTGTCAGAAGCCATTATCATATTCAAATTCGAAACTTGAAATAAACGGTGAATAACGTAGCTAAAATCATCAAAATATCGTATAAAGGGAGCTACCGTTATATCGGAGCTGTGCGAAGACCTGGACCAGTATAGACAATTTTCTCTCACAGGCTGTATCATCCAATACGAACTTCAAATACGACATCTCAAACAATTTCGGTGGGTTTTGTACCTAAACTCGTCAAAATACCGAATATTGGGAGGTACTGATATATGGGGCCTACCTGGACCTACATAGATAATTTTCTGCCAAAGACTGTAGTTCTACAGACAATTTTCTACCTATGTAGGTCCAGGTCTTCGTATATCGACTTAGAATTTTACGCTGATCAAGAAGATATATACTTTGTTGAAAATATTCTCTTGGACAATTCTTACAAATCAGCGTTTTAAAGATGTTAGTCAGCTCTGAAAAAAATTAGCAAAAGTCCAATTTAAGAGCTTGTCCGACTTTCTGTTCAGTTAAAAAAAAAACACAAAAACGGACGTTTAGTCTCATTAAACTCTTAAATAATAATTAAAAAAACAAGTTTAGCAATTTTTGTTCAAATCTGAAAAGGTTCAGAAAAATCGAGATTTTGGAACTGTAAGGAAACCAAGATGAAGTAATAAAATACTCTTTAATTCAAATTTGTTTTATTCTTCGACATTTTTATTTGAAAACATAATACTTTCGTTTGTTGTTGTTGTTTTTGTTTCTTTTTCAATTTGATTTCTTTGACAACTTTAATAAACATCTTAAAGACTAAGTAAAGCCCGTATAAAGTCTCCATTCATATTTGGTAATAATTATTTTAATTAGAATTTAAGAAAAAAAAAATATTCAAAATTTTAAATTGCTTTTTTTTTAATTGATTGCTGTAATAATTTCAAAAACAAAAATAATTTTATTTTTTTTTGTTCCTAAATTTCAATAGTCCTCTAGGCTATATAAAAATAGTTTCTTCAATTTTGTTGCTTGCAAAAACTTCCACTCCCATTCATGCTATAGCATCAGGCATCTTAGTAACGAGTAAAAAAGCTGATTTTCGTAAATATTTTGAATTTCTAACTAGCTTGTTGGTTAACACTCCACTCGCAATTACCATCATTCAGTCCAATCTCCATTAGGATCCCCATCCTCATCGCCCTCTTCAAAATCACGAATATTAAAGTCCTCGTTGAACAAATCTTCACCCTCAGAGGACTCCGAATGTCATCTCGGTGCATTGATGTGTGTCGGTATTGTGATGAAGCCCTTGGGTGGTCGTGGCATACGAATTGTTGTCGTCCCTGCGGAAGCAGCTGTGGATCCGGGTGTGACACTAGGTAAGAGTTGTTCATTTAATGACCCACCGCGATCTTGATTCAGACAATCACAACAAATATTATCACAACGTATTAACATGATGAGGCCAGCTACAATCCAAAATAAAATCGCAGGCCATGAATATTGAGCACAAGAAGCGAAGAGAATACAGCCAATAAAAATGGCCGAACAGCAAATAACGGGACTGACATTGACTACACTGCCCGTGTATTTGGGTATTAGCGGCATCATGAGGCTTATTATGAAGACACCTGGAAGAGGATAAGGGGAGAGAGGGGTTAATTTGAGATGAAAAATATTCTTAAGGTAGAAAAGGCCAACGAAGGTTCATCCATATAGAAGAAGTTCTCCGAAGACCTTATGAATGACCTCGGAGGAGTTTTCCCGGATATGGAAGATCCTGAGGAGTATTTTGGAGTGGGGAGCCTTCTCTGTATATGAAAAACCTCTGAGGGGGCTTTACTTATATGGAAGACTTCTGAGGATATTTAGGCCTTCCGGGATAGAGAGAACCTCTTAGGGGTCTTCACTCTATGAAAGACCTCTCTGGAACCTCTAAGGGTTCTTCATTCTGTATAGAAGACCTCTGAGGGGTTTTCTTTTTATAGAAGACCTCCGAGGGGTCTTCTCGGTATAGAAGACCTTTGAGGGATCTTCTCGGTATAGAAGACCTCTGAGGGATCTTCTCTGTATAGAAGACCTCTGAGGGGTATGTATAGAAGACCTCTGAGGGGTTTTCTTTTTATAGAAGACCTCTGAGGGGTCTTCTCTGCATAGAAGACCTTTGAGGGGTCTCCTCGGTATAGAAGACCTTCGAGGGGTGTTCTCGGCATGGAAGATCTCTGAGGGGTCTTCTCTGCATAGAAGGCCTCTGCGTGGTCTTCTCGGCATACAAGATCTCTAAGAGATCTCCTCGGTATACAAGACCCCTAAGAGATCTCATCGGTATAGAAGACCTCTGAGGGGTCTCCACGGTATAGAAGACCTCTGAGGGGTCTCCTCGGTATGAAAGACCTTTAAGAGGTCTTCTTGGCATGGAAGACCTCTGAGGGGTATTCTCTTTATAGAAGGCTTCTGAGGGGTCTTCTATGTATAGAAGATCGCCGAGGGGTATCCTATGTATAGCAGATCGCCGAGGGGTATTTCCTGTATAGAGGACCTCTAAAGGGGTTTTTCTCTGTATATAAGACCTCTATTGGGTTTTCTCGGTATAGAAGACCTCTAAAGGGTCTTCTCGTATAGAAGACCTCTGAGGGCTCTACTAGATATGGAAGACCTCTGAGGGCTCTTCTAGGTATGGAAGACCTCTGATAGGTCTTCTCGTTATAGATGACCTCTGAGGAGCCTTCTCGGTAAAGAGGACCTTTAAGGGTCTCAGTCTGTATAAGCTCGTGGAACAGTGTTCTCTCTATCTAAAGGTCCTCTATGTATAAGAGATCTCTAGATGGTCTTTAAGATCTCTGTAGGGTCTTCCATGTTCAGAGGATTAGTGAATAATTCTAATTATAAAGAAGTGTCTCAAACTCACCTATTGACCCCGTGAATGCCGCTGGCGCCCAATGCATAAAAATGCCGGCCAAACTTAAAGCTACACCCAAAAACACAACCACAATTGCAAATATGGTGACACGCCACGAAGAGACTGTGGGTATGCGAGCCGTTCTGTCCAATGGACCGGCTGTGGCCACTTTAACCTTTTGGCGGTACTCATCGACAATGGCATCAATATCCGTTGATGTATCCGAATCGCTGTTATCAAATTTATCCGGGTACTCGAAATCCGAGGGCTATAGAAGAGATGGAAATTATAAACATTCTTCTTTGGTATTAAAAGTAATTAAACTCACCGGAGGCTCTCCATCGGATAATATCGTGGACTCAACATCTTTGGTCTCCCTTTGGGGGCAGGGTGATGTTGGCTCACCCAAAAGTAACCACTCCTTCTCCACTTCTTGTTTATTTTTTGATTTTGCTTTGGGTTTTTTATTTGGAGCCTGTTTGCCAACACTCAAGTTCCAGAGGCTGCGCTTTAGGCGGGCCGACGAAGAACTATGGGTGATGGGTTCGGTATTCAGTCGGCTATATGATAATGAAGAATCTGTGTCTGAAATATAAAACAATTTGAAATTTGTTCGCTTTAAATAATGAAAGGTTGACACTTACTACACTGTAATATAAATTTTGGACGGAAGGGCGTGTAGAGCAAATAGAAAGCTCGGAAGAACACCGCACACAAATGACTGGCGGCCAGCATATAGGAGAGATTTTGCAGGGGGCAAGCAAATGCCAACATGGCACAAAGGCTTCCTGTTTAAACAAAAAAAAAGTTATTTTAATTTCAAAAATTTATGAAAAAAAACCCCATACCCGCTATAAAAACCGCCAACACCGGATTACCACTTTCCGAACTTTCATAGGCAATCTGCTTCGTCAATATCCGCCATTCCGATGTGGCAAAACGTACTATAATACGATATAGTTCCGGAAATAGCTCTAAAAAGGCACCGGTTACTGTTAACATTAACATACAGGCAGCTGCGGGTACTAATTTATGGAAATTGTTTTCATCCAAAATGTGAAACAATGGGACGGCTGCATATTCCTCTATGGGTCTAAGGAAAAAAATATTAAATTTATTAAGTCCTACAAGTAATTCTAATCAAATTTTTAGAGGTCTACTTACTTGTAGTGCAATATTGTGGTTAAACAACCGGAAGCCAATAGCAGTGATATCGTCACAAAGAGGATCATAAATAATCCTGTGAACCGTTTCCAACCGGTCTTGGGGCTTGGACATTCCACGGGAAAGGAAAACGTCAATAAGGCAGTGGCGGTAAGTAACTAAAATGAGGAGAACATTTATATAAAGACAAAAGTGCAGTACACTAAAAAAATATTACAGGATATCCCAGTATTAACGAAGATTTAAAAGGAGAAGATATGTGTATCGGCATTTGGTGTCACAAAGTAACCTTATTTGAGAGAACAAGTTCCCTGCACTTCCGGGCCGAGTTTTTAATACCCTCCAACATTTGGAAGCAATTTTCAAAAAAAAAAAAAAAAAAAAAAAAAACTTTGAAAAATACTCGTCACTCGTTATATGGGGGCTATACGACATCGTTAAGTTCGGCAGGGCCGAAAATTTTATACCTGCCACTATTAAAAAAAAATTGTCGAAAAATACCGCTCTCATTTAAACCCTTATATGGAGGGTATACAAAGACGTGATCCTGCTTAAGTATTTTTTGTCATAGGCTGTAGTGACGGTTTCGAACTTCAAATACGAATAATGTCACAAAAATCATGAAAATACCGAATATATATGAGGGAACCGTTATATGCGCGTTATACTAAAAGGTGGACCTATGTAGAAAATTTTTTTCTATGGGGTAAAGTACTCAGAAGGAACCCCATGTGTGGATTTTAAGATAATTCCGTTGAAATTTTTGCCTGAAATCATCAAAATACCTAATATCGGAAGATACCGTTATATGGGGGATATACGACATCGTTGACCTATATACACAATTATTGTATTCTAAATTATTGTAGGGAATAAAGTACATACATGAAAATCCTTTTGTGGACTTTCAGACAATTCCATTGAAAAATGTGGCTAAAATCATCAAAATACCGAATATCAGGAGGAAGCGTCATATGCCGAATGGATAAATCACATCGTGGATCTATATGGCCAATTATCTTCCAGAGGGCGATGTATTCACAAGGAACCCCTTTTGTGGATTTTCAGAAAAATGTGGCTAAAATCATCAAAAATAGCGAATATCCATCGGAAGGTGCCGATATGGTGGGAGATATACGATATAGTGGACCGACATAGCCCATCTGCGAACTGGTTGCAGACAAAAGACAGTTCTGTGAAAAATTTTAGCTTCCTATATTAATTCGTGCTTACTCTAGCGTGGTTACATCAGACGTACGGGCGGACAGGGCTATATCATCTTAGAATTTTACGCTGATCCAGAATACAGGTTGAGATGACTGCTGTCATTTCTAAGCCACTCGTCCGACAGCTGTTTAAATTATTCCAGTGATAGCTCATTGTATTGTTTACAAGCGTACAAAGGAATTTTGGTGAGAATTTTCCAGATAAAAAGTTATTCGTGGTGGAATTCTACCGTAGTAGTGTGATTTCCTTATATTTGGCTGGAAAACCAAAAGTGGCTATCATTAGAGCACTCCAGCATTTAAATGTGAACAGATCTTTTGTGTCTTGTACCTTCGCTCGTTACTGTGATACTGGTAGCGTAGCCCGACGTCAAGGAAGTGGACGAAAGAAAACAGCAACATCAGCAGAAATGGTTCGAAAAGTAAAGAAGCGACTTGATCGAAATCCGCTTCGCAATGGCCGAAAAATGGCTCGTGAGCTGGACATATCGCAATATTCCATTCGGCAAATATTGAAAAATGAGGTCGGGGTAAAGCCATTGACATTTAAACAAGTACAAAATAGTCTCAAAAGAGCTATAGAGTTGCTTCGCTTGGCCGAAATTGGTGAACTGCCGAATTCGGTTTTCTCTTCGATGAGAAAACATTCGTTGTCCAGCAGTTTGTAAACAAACAAAATGATCGGGTTTACTTGCCAAAGAGGTCAGCTGAAAATGTGCACCATCGGTTGGCCACCAGAACTCAAGCGCCGGCCATGGTAATGGTGTGGGCCGCCATAACAGCCGATGGTCGCTCTACGCTCGTATTGTTTGACCGTGGTATCATAATAAATACCAAAATATTATAGAGGGTGGATTAAAGCCTTGGGCACGCAAACATTTTGGCCGCAGACCTTGGTCATCCAACAGGGCTCAGCACCATCGCACTCAGCATGTGCCACCCAAGAATGGTTACAAAATGAAGTTCCTCGCTTCATTTTCAGCGCACAATGGCCACCAAAATCTCCGGATACCAATCCGTTGGACTTTTGTGCCTGGAGTATTTTGAAAAGGAAGGTTGGCACTAAAAAATACCAGCAGTTTGTTAACAAACAAAATGATCGTGTTTATTTGCCAAAGAGGTCAGCTAAAAATATGCACCTTCGGTTGGCCACCAGAACTCAAGCGACGGCTATGGTGATGGTGTGGGCCGCCATAACAACCGATAGTCGCTCTCCGCTCGTATTAATCGACCGCGTCTTCAAGATAAATACCGAATATTATCGCGAAAACATTCTGAAGGGTGTATTAAAGCCCTGGGCACGCAAACATTTTGGCCGCAGACCTTGGACTTTCCAACAGGACTCAGCACCATCGCAGTCAGCACGCGCCACCCAAGAATGGTTACAAAATGAGTTTCCTCGCTTTATTTCCAGCGCACAATGGCCACCCAAAATCTCTGGATACCAATCCGTTGAGCTATTGTGTTTGGAGTATTTTTTAAAACAAGGTTGGCACTACAAAATACCAAAGTGTCGATCACCTCAAGCAAGCGCTTCGTCGGGAATGGGTCAAAATACCATAGAGCAACATTCGGACATCGTGTGATGGTTTCATTGTCCATAATTCGTGTCAAAGGTGACCACTTCGAACAAATCTAAATTTATTCTAAAATTTGATGCTATTTCCGACCATTTTTGCTTTCATTCAATAAAATTCTTAAAAAATCTAAAAATTATGGCGTTTGACTTTGTTGCAGTTTTTATCTCATCCTGTTTATTGAAAATTTGGCAGAGGTATTTTCGAGCAGTATCTGATGTCCGCTATCATATATCATTGCTTTGGAGTGCGTATTACGCATATGAGTGACTTTAACACCAAATCGGATGAAATATTTATATAACAGCTATAACTATATCTTCACCGATTTTCACTAGAATTTTAAGCACTTACTTTTAGGCTGTAATGTGTAGAAAGTGCCAAGATTTATCCACTTGGGTTGATATTAGCCATTTGATTTACAAAAAAAAAAAAAAAAAACCTGATATCAGATAAATATATACATAGGAACTACATCCAAATCTGAACCGATCGTGACAAAATTTTGAAAATATATTTCTGAGCTGTATCTTATATCTGGTACCAAAGATAATTTTTATAGAGTGAATCTTACACCAAATTGAAAAAAAACGTATAGATGGGAGGTATAGCTATATCTGAACCGATTTTATCGAAATTTTACGTACTTGATTCCTCACTGAATTTGGTCAAATGTACCAAAATTCAGGTCATGTGTTCAGATATTGTTCATTTGGTGGACAATTAACCCGAAATCGGTTGAAGATATATATGGGATCTATATCCAAACCGATCTCGATAAAATTTGACAGAGGTATTTCTGGGCTGTATCTGATATCTGGTACCGAATATCATTCTTGTGAAATGCGTATTACGAATGTGAGAGACTTAAACACCAGATTGGATGAAACATGTATATGGGAGCTATAGCTATATCTGAACCGATTTTCACGTTCTAGACTGAAATAGGGGGGATATGCTAAAATTCAGGTTATTTGAACTGATATTGGCAGTTTGGAGAACAATTAACCCGAATTCGGTTTAAGATATATATTTGGGAGCTATATCTAAATTTGAACCGATTCTCAGCAATCTTAATTAGGTTCATCCTTGGGCCAAACAAATATTTTGTGGTAAATTTAATCTCAATCTGACAATAAATGCGACCTGACCACAAGAACACATGGACAGACGCACGGACTGACATACATAAATCGACTCAGAAAGTAATTCTATGAAGATCCTCAGAAGTAACTATAGGTCTATCTTGTTTCATTCTCCGTATTACAAACAAATGCACAAAGACATAATACACTTACCACCATGCGGTGTACGTATAAAAATTGCAATCAGCTGGTAGATCTACCTTACCATATATAGGTACTTTCTGTTTTAAGTTTTTTCGATTTCATATTCGTTTTTAGAAACCCCAAAAGTTTTGGGGAAAAAATTAATTTTCAGGGAGGGAGATGTGGAGCCGATGAAAAACTGACGTTTACCTCATTCGTCCCCCTCTTACTCATTCTCTCATTTCTATTTTTCGTGAACTTTGCTATGTCTGATTCCCGACATTGTGTCTCTTATCTGTGTTGACGAAGTATTGAATGTTATATATGTACGTATATTTGAAAAAAAATATATTTATTCTACTTCCCCTGTTGGTAAACGAACATTTTTTTGGCAATATTCGTGCATAGGCTTAATTATATTTGTCACGAATGTGTCCGCTTGCGGAAACAGTTCTGCCATTCACTTGAATAGTTAATGTCTATTTAAATGTTTTGGACGGAAAACATTGTTTTTTTTTTTGTTGTGCTGTCTCGCGTGATGTATTTGTGGATTTGTGTATGATTTTTACATTTTTGTACCCTCCACCATAGTAACACCTCGAAATATACATTTTAGACCCCACAAAGTAGATATATTCTTGATTAGAGCAAAAAATTCCGTTTCGATTTAGCGATGTCCGTCCGTCTGTGGAAATCACTCTAGGTTCCGAACGAAATGAAGTAAATTGATAAAATTTTACTCATATGTGTGTTATGACTGCGGGACTTTTAGTATTGAAAATGGGTCATGTAGGTCCACGTTTTGGTATAGCCACCATATAACGGTACCTTCCGATATTCGGTATTTTGATGATTTTAGCTACATTATTCACCGGAATTATTTCAAATTTAGTATTTGATGTTCGTAATGAATGCTACAGCCTATGGCAGAAAATTGTCTGTGCAGGTCCACGTCTTCGTATAGCCCCCATTTAACGGTACCTCACGATATTCGGTATTTTAATGATTTTAGCGACATTTTTCACTGGAATTGTTTCAAATTTGGTATTTGAAGTTCATAATGGATACTACAGCCTATGACAGAAAATTGTCTGTGCAGGTTCACGTCTTCGTATAGCCCCCATTTAACGGTACCTCACGATATTCGGTATTTTAATGATTTTAGCAACATTATGTACCAGAATTGTTTCAAATTTGGTATTTGAAGTTCGTAATGGATACTACAGCCCATGACAGAAAATTGTCTGTGCAGGTCCACGTCTTCGTATAGCCCCCATATAACGATACCTCACGATATTCGGTATTTTGATGAATTTAACGACATTAATCACGGGAATTGTTTCAAATTTGGTATTTGAAGTTCGTAATGGATACTACAGCCGAAGACTGGAGATTGTCTGTGCAGATCCACGTCTTCGTATAGCCCCCATATAACGGTACCTCCCGATATTCGGTATTTTAATGCTTTAAGCGACATTTTTCACCGGAATTGTTTCAAATTTGGTATTTCATGTTCGTAATGAATGCTACAGCCTATGACAGAAAATTGTGTGTGCAGGCCCACATCTTCGTATAGCCCCCATATAACGGTACCTTCCGATATTCAGCATTTTGATGATTTTAGCCACATTATTCACCGGAATTGTTTCAAATTTGGCATTTGAAGTTCGTAATGGATAGTACAGCCTATGGCAGGAGAATGTCTGTGCAGGTTCACGTCTTCGTATAACCCCCATATGGCGGTACCTCTCGATATTCGGTATTTTGGTGATTTTAGCTACATTAATCACCGATTTTTTTTAAGTTTCGCATTTTAATATTGTAATGGCTTATGACAAATGTGGCCGATGCAGGTCGTCGTATAGACCCTAATATAACAGCAACATTCGGTATTTTTAAGATTTCAACAGAATTTTTAACGGATTTTATTGTTTTTGAGAATTGTCAAATTCGTTCCAAATGTTAGAGTGTGTTTATAGTTCGGATCGGCCGAACTTACAGCTTTTTTACCTGTTTTTAAATATAAAATTTTAAATGAATTTTCAAATTTTTAAAACTCCTCTAAATAAATGAAAGTATTTTTAACCGTTTACATTGTTAAAAGGCTTCCTATTCCTGTTTTGAATTATACCTTCAAGGAGTTTTTTATTCCAAAACAAATATTTTACAAAGAATACTTTCAAAAATATGACTGAGAAATGTTCTGCATTTTTAATTTTTTAATTTATTTTGTTCTTCTAAAATTAATTACTTTCCATTCACACCAATTGATTGCAAAAATCTTAAATTTCCACATATTCTTTTCTTGCAAAAGACATTATTAACACACAAAAAATCCTAAAGCAAAAAAAGTGCTTCTCAAGTATCATAAGTGTACTTTAACCAACTAAAGTGAAAAGTGTCGTTGCTTTGCATAAACACAACAACAACAACATCAACTACACCATGTTCACATGAGAAGTTCACATTCAAGTCCGATGCCCCCTTATTTATTTTCCAAAATAAAAAAGAAGAAGAAAATTTCTAAACAATACAATACGTACACTTTTGAAACCACTCGGCTGCAATAGAGTCTCATGCCAGGCGATAGCATCGCCATTCCACCAGCCAACGGCACTTAAAATGGCATTCAAGCCGAACATGGCCAATGCCATTATAAAACTGAAAGCCTTTGAATGCTAAAAACCAAAGAAAAGAAAAATAGAGAGAGAGAGGGAAAAGAGAGTAAATAAATTATTTCTATAGAATAGAAAGAAAATAATATAAAGAACTAAGATTTATTAAAAATTCATTCACCTAATAGAAATAAAATATATTATGAAAATGCACAAAAAAGGGCCATCGTTAAATATTGAAATAAAATACTAGTCCTCTATGGACCTTGTTTAAATACATAGCCAGCCATTGTGGGCTATCACAACGTTGTCCACAATTACTGCAGTAAATAATAAGAAAAGCTGAAGTTATACTGCATACATACCTCTAGGCCTAGCATAAACATGCCCGTCACCAGAAACACCACAGCTACTCCCAAGACATCTGGCCAGGGTTCGTTGGCTGGTGAATTGCGGCCTGAAAGTATGCAATGGAAAAGTATTATAAAATAAATTAACAACAGTGTTTTAATTGGGTGCAACGACTCTATTATACGCTACTCTACACAACGAAAGGTATACAGTATCCTAAAAGACTTGGTAATATATTCTTAAAAAATCCATGACTTCGTTGAAAGCAGGATAAATGTTATAATGCAAATTATGAGATATCTGTTGGTTTACTTGAAGATGAATTTCTTACGTCTACATATATAAGTATAAATTAACAATAAGCGACCAAAATATTTGGTTTGAATTATCATAAACGTTAAAAAAACAGGTCGAAATGCCAGAAAAATATTAACGAGTTTTCAAAGGGCATGTCTTTGATCACATTTTTTAAATCTCAGTAAATATAACAAAACCAGTGAATATTCTTAAAAAATACAATTTTCTTAGGACGGAATACTAAAAAAAATAAACTTAAAGGATTACCAAAAATCTCTTGAAAATGATCAACATTTTGCGACCTAAGTATTTGAAGAAATGCCCTTAAGAAATAAGTGTTTTTTTTAGGAAGTCCTTAAAAATTCACATTTTTGGCGGGAAATCTTAAAATTTAAAAAAATCTAATTTTTTATGGGAGGTCCTTCAGCTTGGTTCGAAATATTTTGAAGGAATCCGGATCAAATAAAAATGTTCCCACGTTTTTTGACTCGATATATCAATAGTTTCAGACTCGATATATCAATAAAATGTTGACAATATTGGTATCATTTTATATAAAGTTCTCACATTTCCCATATATTAGTAAACTCACATAGCTCCGAAGGGGTACGCCAATATTGTCCATTTCGTATCTAACCTAAGTTTTATTGGGACTTTATCAAGTAATTCCTTCACTTTTTATGATATATATGATAATTATTTGAAAAATTTGAAATGTGCGTGATGTGCCAGTTATCCAATATTTGTGTGAAATTTTGAAAGAATTAATTCAAACTGTTGAACATTTGTGGGGGAGCTACTAAAGAAGTGGGACGATATTGTCAATTTTCCCACTTTACCTAATATCATTGCTATGCCCTCGTCTTATGTACCTCCCCCACAAAGGGTCAACATTGGTTCGATATATCTGGAAACTCACGCACATTTCAACATTTTCCAAAAAACTTGACACATATCTCATAAAAAGTGAACGAGGTACTCGATATAGTCCCTATAGAATTTCCAAAGTTTTCTGTGAAACTTTTGGCCTTTTATGGGCCAAATGTCCTAAGATGGATTTGGTTCAAGGAGACCTAGGGTCTAATCCATTATTACGATGAGTCACGTTTCGGCCGTAACAAATAATACATACCTTCTGTAGCCTTATGATTGAAACATATTTTTTAAAATTCACAATTCTTGAAAACATTTTTTTAAAATTAACCATTCTTGGCCAGGAAGTCCTTGACACATTTTATTTTTAAATCCATAATTCTTGGTTAGGAAGTCTTTCAAATTATTTTTCAAAATCCAAGATAATTGGCACATTTTTAAATACACGTTTCTTGATACTTGATCCGGAAGTTCTTGGAAATTGTTTTTTTAAATTCTTGGTTCGTGGACTGGAAGTCCTTGCCAACAATTTTTGAGGATCCACGATACTTGGACAGAATGTTCTTGCAAATATATTTTTTTAATCCACGGATCTTGGTCAAAAAGTCCTTCAAAAAAATTGTTTTTTATTGCACGACTCTTCATCATCATTTTCTTGAAAAAGATCTTTTAAAATTTACGATTCTTGGCCGGAAAGTCCTTCAAAATAATTTTCTTTTAGTCCACTAATGATCAAATGATCTATGAAAAAAATATACTTTTCAAGGCCAAAAATCCTTATTTTTTTTAAATTCACAATTCTTGTCCACAAATTCCCTAACATTTAATTTTTTAATCAACGATTCTTGTCCAGAAATTCATTGAAACCCATTTTTAAAATTTAGGATTCTTGACCAGAAAGTCTTCCAAAAGTTTGCTAATCCACAATTCTTGGCTTGGAAAGTCGGTGAGCAATATATTGAAATCCTCTTTTCTTGGCCAGTGAGTCCTTAAAAATATACATTTTTTTTAATTCATAATTCTCAGAAATTCATTAAAAATTACATTTTTAGTTAATTTGTTCATTTTTGTTTCTAGATGAAAGTGAAAATTAAGCTAGAGACTTTACATAATTTTTTAATGCGCGGTTTTTGGTCAGGAGTTCCTTTAAAATTATTTTCGAAAATTGAATGTTCTTAGACTGCAAACTCTTAATATATATATATTTTTTTAATGTTCACTACCAGGTGGGTAGGTCCTGATAAAATATTATAACAAATTCATGTTTCTAAGATAGAGCCTTTGTCTTTTAAAAATATTGTATCATTGACTCAATGTTCCCTGTGTCTTGAATAAATATTATAATATTTAAAAGATTCTTTAAAAACAACACTTAATGCTGTCATATTCCTTGGGAAAATATTCCCTAAAAAATTTACGTTTAATGCTCTCATATACCTTCAAAAAAATATTCCTGAAAATCCACCTTTAATGCTTAAGAAATATTCCGAGGAAATCCAGGTATAGTACTCTCCTTCAAGAAATATTCCTTAAAAAAATTGGTCTAATACTTTCATAGTCCTTGAAGAAATATTCCTAAAAAATCCACATTTGCCGCTCTCATATTCCCCTAAAAATGTTTCTGAAAAATCCACGAAAGTACACCCATAGTCCTTGAAAAAAATTTTCTTAAAAAAGCCAAGTTTAATGCATTCATATTCCTTGGGAAATATTCCCGAAAAATCCACGTTTAATTCTCAAGAAATGTTTGTAAAAAATCCATGTTTTATATTCTCATATTCCTTGGAAAAATATTTGTGAAAAAATCCTCGTTTAATGCTTAAGAAATATTCGTAAAAAATCTCTTTTTAATACTTTGATATCCCTTGAAAAAAGATTCTTAAAATCCCCTTTAATGCTCTCGTATTAATTGGAAAAGTATTCCTGAAAATTTCACGTTTAATGCTTAAGAAATATTCCTAAAAAATCCAGGTTTTATACTCTCATAGTCTTGTAAAAATATTCTCAAAAAATCCACGTGTAATGCTCTCATAGTCCTTGAAAAAAATATTCTTAAATAATCTAAGTTAAATGCTCTCATATTCCTTGGAAAAGTATTCCTGAAAAAATCATTTTTAATCTTGAACAAATATTCCTAAATAATCTAGGATTAATACTTTCATAGTCCTTGAAAAATATTCCATTTCTAATGCTTTCATAGTCCTTAAGATTTCGTAGTCCTTGAAAAAGAAAAATCTAAAAGAATTAAGGTTTAGAATTCTCAAAATCACAAAATAATTTCAAAATAGTCAGGTTCTAGCTCTTATAGTCCTTACAAAAATATTCTTAAGAATATTCTGAATTGAATATATTCTGAAAATTATAGCTTATATTTGTAATAGTCTTTAAAATTTTTCAGATCTATTTCAAAATATATCCCAAACATTCGATCATAGTCCTGTCTAATTCTTTATATATTAAAAAATTCAATACCACAACATCTCTACCCATTCCCATACTTATCAACCACTTAACAGCGTATGTGTGTGTGTGTTTTTTGTGCAAGTTGTTTAGAACTCACCTAAAATCATGATACGTGCTAAACCGCCAGTCATGGCATCCAAACACATGCTCAACGTACGCGTCAATGCCCCGCAGGCACACAACACCGACAACATTTCCATCCAAGTGGCCAGAAAAAGGCAACCGAAGTCAAATTTATTGCTGGCCCGTATATAAGGCATCTGTAGGGATCTCAGACTTGTTTTACAGCGTGCTGGAGGCGATACAAAAAAAATTTAAAGTAGAAACGAAAAAATTGTAGAACAAACCATTATAATTTAAGTAGGTGTAATCGCAGCGGTTGTAAAATTCATGTATGTACGTTTTAGGTAATTGACGTGTTCTTAGGGCTGAGCAGACATGACTGGGACTGGGAAAAATTGAAATATTTACCCGCCAAAGCTGCATAAATTGTGGCCGCAATGGTGGCCAAAACCACACACGGTGCCGTCGTTTCATTGTAGGCAATCAAATAGACTAAGACGGCAGAGCCCAATGTCAGACGGGCACCATTGCCATTTGAGAATGAGTCCATAAGAAAGCTGGAAAGAAGAGAAAGAGGAAATGTTAATGTGGTTTGTTTTCATATAATAAATGTTGTTTTCTTGCTTTTTTTGGTATCAATAAAAACCAAAAAAGAAACTTTAGTCATTTTGCGAAAAGGATATGAAGAAAAAATCGCACAAATAAATATGATATCATCAGCCAGAAAATATTTCTATGGGAGTTGTAGTCGGAGTTAGAATTTTTGTTTCAAACTATACGATAGAGTTCGTTTTAAGGAAACTATAAAGCTTAAAAAATAATTTAATGGGCAGGAATAGACATGGGAGAAATGCATCACAAGCAAAATGGTTCAACTTTTATTCAAATAAAAAATAAATAAATAAATAAAAAATAAAAAAATTTAATGTGGCTTAGGCTATCAAAAATACTAAAAATCCAGAAATTTTTTGCAGGCGGATTTTCTAACCATGAAGAGTACAAATACAAAAATAAAAATTATAAATTCACCCGAAAAATAATTATTCAAAATCCATAAATATGGACCCAAAAAGGCACTCAAAACTGCGGCCATGTCCAGTTAAAGTTACTCAGAAGTACTTTTCAAAAAACTACAACTAATCCTTAAACAAATTTTAATAAATGACTTTGGCTCTTTAGTCCTTGAAATTCTTTTCTGACTTATCGTTATCAAACAAGTAAAAAATATCGGTCGGTTTTGCCGACAGATGTATAACCTCAGCAAATGTTCGATTATTTTAAAATATATGGGAAATTATTAATTCCATATTCTTCTAAGGATTCTGGTTGAGAGACACATATTTAGATATAGCAAGTTGTAAAGAATGGGTAAGGTACAACAGATCTTGTGTTAGCAAAAATATATGTATGTGTGAAATTTGAAGAGAGTTGGGTGATTATTTTGCTTTCTTTGAGGGTTTTTTTTCGAATTCATGAACCCTATGTGAAGTAGGTAGCAAAATAAATGGTCGGATCTCTACCATCTTTATAACAGATCTTGTCTTAATGGAAATATTGAGATGTACCATATCTGAAATGGAATCGGATGTTGATTAAGCTTTTTATCAACTTCGTGGATATCCAAAATTTTGAGCGTTTGTGGGGAAGGTATCAGAAGGAGTAGACCGATATATTCCGTCTTATTTCCAGATGTTCGGCTCATAATAATATTAAGATGTGTAAAATTTGATAACAATCGGACTCTTATATCATATTTTTTAAGAGTTATAATTATTCAAAATATTGACCCTTTGTGGGAGATTCACTTGATGAAGTCGACCGATATTATTAATTTTCGCACCAGACCTAGCACTGACGCAAATATTTAGATGTGCAAAGTTGGAGCAAAATCGGATTATAGCTTCTCTTTCTGAGCAAAAAATATATTTGTTTGAAAATTTTGACCTCTTATGGGGGAGGTAAGTTTGACAAAAATATTACGATGTGTCAAGATTGGACCAAATCGGATACTCCCTTTGAGAGTTATCGCGCGCCAGCCTGAAAGACAGACAGACGAACATCGCTAGATCGACTCCAAATGTTCTGAAACGGATTTGGTCCAAATAGACCTAGGGTCAAAAACCGTTATTTCGACTAGGCACGTTTTGACCGTATCAAATGAAATATACCCTCTGTAGCCATATGACTGAGGGTATGCAAATACTACCATGACCGTAGGACCTGCAAATAAAAGTTTAGTAACAGACTCTCATAATCATTTTATATTACATTAAGTAGATCATTCATAATCCCACAATTATATGCTTGACTGCAATTATGTAAGCATGTGTATGTAAAAATGATTCCAGTGACAGCTCATTATATAGTTTACAAGCGTTTTGCATTTTGGTGAGAATTTTCCAGAAAAAATTATTCGTGATGGAATTCAAGCGTGATAGTGTGATTTGTGTCGCGTACCATCGCTCGTTACCGTGATACTGGTAGCGTAGCCCGAAGTTAAGGAAGTTGACGGAAGAAAACAGCAACATCAGCAGAAAAGGTTCGAAAAATAAAGAAGCGTCTTGATCGAAACCCTCGTCGCAGTGTCCAAAAAATGGCTCGTGAGCTGAACATATCGCAATATTTCATTCGACAAATATTAGAAAATGAGCTCGGAGTAAAGCCATTGAAATTCCAAAAAGTGCAAGAACTTACACCACAACAGAAATAAAATAGACTCAAAAGAGCTAAAGAGTTGCATCGCCGAAAGTGGTGAACTGCTGAATTTGGTTTTCTTCGATGAGAAAACATTCGTTGTCCAGCATTTTGTAAACAAAGAAAATTATCGTGTTTACTTGCTAAAGAGGTCAGCTGAAAATGTGCACCTTCGGTTGGCCACCAGAACTCAAGCGCCGGCCATGGTGATTTTGTGGGCCGCCATAACAGCCGATGGTCGCTCTCCGCTTGTGTTAATCGACCGTGGCATCAGAACAAATGCCGAATATTATCGCGAAAATATTCTGGAGGGTGTATTAAAGCCTTGGGCACGCAAAATTCAGATATGCGGCACCTTGGACATTCAAACAGGACTCAGCACCATTACACTCAGCACCCAAGAATAGTTACAAAATGGGGGTCTTCGCTTCATTTCCAGCGCACAATGACCACCCAAAATCTCCAATCCGTCGGACTATAGTGCCTGGAGTATTTTGGAAAGCAAGGTTGGCACTAAAAAAATACCAAAGTGTCGATCACCTCAAGCAAGCGCTTCGCCGGGAATGGGTCAAGATACATCAGAATAATAATCGGGCAGCGTGTGAAGGTTTCATTGGCCGTTTGAAGGCCATAATTTGTGCCAAAGGTGACCAATTCGAACAAATCTAAACTTATTCTAAAATTTGATGTTATTTCCGACATTTTTTGCTTTAAAATTTAAAAAAAAAAAATCTGAACTAGTAAAAAAGCATTAAGTTCGGCCGGGCCGAACTTTGAATACCCTCCACCATTTGGACGAATTAGGAAATTTTCAAAAAAAAAAATAAATAAAATAAAATAAATAAATAAAATTATAAATTAAATTAAAAATTCTGTTAAGCTCTTAAAAAAACGAATATCGAAAATTACCGATTTATGGGGGATATACGATATTGTGGACCTATGTAGACAATTCTATTCCAGGTGGTAAAGTACTCAAAAGGAACTCCTTGTGTACATTTTCAGACAATACCATTAGAAAATGTGTCTATAATCATCAAAATATCGAAGGGTACCGTTATATGGGGTAAATACGATATCGTTTGTATATAAAGAAAATTCTCTGTCAGGGTGTAAAGTGCTCACAAAGAACTCCTTGTGTAGAATTTCAGACAATTACGTTGAAAAATGTGGCCGAAATCATCAAAATACCGAATATCGGAGGGTACCGTTATATGTGAAGACGTGGACCTGCACAGACAATTTTCTGTCATAGGCTGTAGTACCCATTACGGACTTCAAATCCCAAATTTGAAACATTTCCGATGAATAATGTTTTAGGGACATCAAAATACCGTATACTTTGGGGTACCGTTATATGGGGGCTAAACGATATCGTGGACCGATATAGCCCAACTTCGAACTTGACCTGCCTGCAGACAAAAGACAGATCTGTGCAAAATTTTAGCTTCCTATCTTACTTCGTTTTGATTCTAGCGTGATTACAACAGACGGACGGACGGATAGGGCTAAGTCGTCTTAGAAGTTTACGCTGATCATGAATATATAAAATTTTTTGGGTCTAAAATTATTATTTCGATGAGTTACAAACGGAATGACGAATTTAATATACCCTCCATAGTATGGTGAGGGTATAAAAATGGATTTAGTTTTTTGGCCAGCGAACTATTTTACGAACATCTCTAAAAATTCTTCGATTCTAATCTCATGCATTTCGTGAGGATCCGATCATAACTACGACTTGTAGAATTATTATGAATTAACATGGATATAAGATAGTCTCAGCTCGGCGTTAATATGTTTATTACATGTTTGGATAAAAGCTTTTATGTTAACTAGCAATGCTTACTTAATTTTTAACAGAGCTTGGATAATTTAAAGCATATTTTGAGGCGCTACCATCAAATGATAGATGTGGAATTTATTAGGTTTAAATCAATAGGTGGGTGTTCCTATAACCTTGCATCACCTAGACTACCCTGTCTATAAACGAATTTAAAACATTTTGATTACTTGGAAGAACCTTTTCGACAGGAGTAAACCGATATTCTTTATCCTCAATTTTTTCCTAAATTCCCAGTGATTTGCGAAAATTTTGGGCAAACCGATACGAAGTCCCTTCTCATACGCAAAGTTTTCTAAAACGTTATTTCAAATCTAAACCCCCTTTTATACCCTTAAGCAGAGAATACATAATTCATATCACTTTTGATGTTCTAAACTTTTTATGAAAACATAAAAACACATTATCCTTTTCATCATCTCGTGTTATCATTGTTGCAGAACTCGATTTGGTAATTGTTTGAGAAAGTCCTTTAAAAAATAAAAAAACAACAAATTTATTCGTTGGCTTCATAAAAAATTTATAAATCCTTTTGCTTGTCAAAAAAAAAAAAAAAAAATGTTTGCATAGTTTTGAGTTGTTGTCTTGTCTTGTCTTCGTTCTAGTTTCTCGTTTTCGTTGCTTTATTTCCCAGCCATGTTGTCATCATCAGTTTAGTGGTGTTTGTTTAAGCAAAGTCTAAGGACATTATTTTATGTGCACACGCCACATGAACACATGGATGGAATGGAATGGATGATGGTCTGTTTGTTTGCTTGTTTACCAGGAAAAAAACAAGTAAGCTATAGTCGTGCGGGGCCGACCATGTGATACCCTACAACACTACAATATGTGAGAAGCCCCCTCATGTCCAAATCTATTTTGGAAGATTTCGCTTTTGAAATTATGTTACGGAGCACTGCCTAGATATTATCCTTAGCATATTGACCAGGGACATTTTCCCAATATTTATGCACTCCGTCGTGCTGTTAGTTTTTGTGGTCCATTTTACGGCTAAATATAATCCAATGGTCATCCAAA